CAGGGAGCCCGATGCGGGACTCGATCCCAGGACCCTGAGATCATGACCTGAGCCGAAGGCAGACGCTTAACCATCTGAGCCACCCAGGCGCCCCAAGAATCATCTCTTTTAGGAAGCTTTCTTTTATCACCCCACCCCCCTCACTCCAGGTATTCCTCTTTTTATGATCCACTTGCACCCTTTGCTTACTGTAAAAATAGAATCCCACAATGTATTATAATTATAGATGCTTCCCTGAGCCTGTTGTCTACAACTGGTATTGATGAGTTCCCATTACGGATGGGACCAATTCGTGGATCTGGGGAGTATCTTTTATGGGAGCAGCTATTTGACAAAAGGCTGCTTTGGAATCCAGGCATCTAAACCAGTGTAGCTCTATTCTTGGACAAAACTCTGATAATGACCTCTATGAATACGTCTGCTGGGTTAGAACCATGCTTTCTGCTGGACTTCCTTTCAAGTGAGTGTCCCAGCATGCCAGGTGAATGCCCAGAGAGGCTGGTAAGAAGGAAAAGTTGTTCCTCCCTCCGACCAAAGTCAAGAAGAAGGGAACCAAGAGGGTACACTGGTCAGTTTTAGAGCTATTTAAGATATAAACTTTTCTCCTACGTTTGGGAATTTTCACTCTATGATATTTAGTGGGAGGGAGATATAATTCTACTGTACAAGCTGCAAATGTCAGATATCTGCTTTCCAGGCACTTTTTTTTTTTTTTTTAAACATTCTTAGTTTATTAATCGTCTCATGAAAATCTGCTCTTCTGGTGAGTGACTGGGCTAAGCCAATCAGACACATCTGCCCGAGTTAACTCGCAGCGCAAAGAGGCCGGGGGAACAGGGAGTGGGGGCAAGGCAGAGTCAGCCACTCCAGATCCTGGGGCACTGCAGGAGGAATCCAAGAGGTAGCAGCTGTGTTGGGGAAGGCGACAGAGTTGGTAGCATAAGCAGTGGATTCTTCAGGAACAGTGGAGGAAGCGTACTCACTGGCCTAGTGTTCAGCTGTGATTCTGGCCCATTTGCTGAGCCTGCCTCTCCATCCTTCCCCAATTACTCTGTGAGCCACTACTCAGCCTTTCTACAGACTTCTTTTAAATCAACCAGGGTTAGGTTGTTTCTGCTTATAATTAGGAAACATGTCTGAAACCATCTACAATATGTCCAATGCTCTACTATATGCTTACCCCTATTCTATGCTTTATATGTATCTTCACTCACATCATCTGCATCAACCCCTGCAAGGTGGTTATTAAAATGCCCGTTTTACAGAGAAGGTCCCTAAGATTCAGCTATGTAAATTGCCCAAGGTCACACACAAGGAAGAAGTAGAATTGGAATTTTAAAACTGCCCTGCCTCATGAAGGAGCCCCCACCTCTAATTTTTCAGTACATACCATATTGTCCAGGGTAGTGCTCGGCAGAGAGGGCACTGATGGATGGATGGGTGAAGGATGGATGAGTGGATGGGTGGAAGGGTGGGTGGGTAGTTGGGCGGATGGGTGGATGACTGGGTGGGTAGATAGTTGGGTGGATGGATGGGTGAGTGAGTGGTGGGTAGTTGGGTGGATGGGTGGATGGATGGATGGATGGATGGTTGGCCAAAAGTATGTTTACAAAAGCAAAATCAGCTGTAATCCTTTTTTATATTGTTTTGAAGAAAGTTATAAGGGATATAAGGAGAAGAGCTACGTGATCACTCCTGAGGAGTCTAGATCACATCCTGGAATTATTTTTTTCAATCATAATGTAAAAGGCTTTTGCTTTTCCACTCGAAATATAAAGGCAGGCAAGCCAATATAATTGCATTTCTCTGACATTCTTCTTGAGCCTCAATTTGGAAAGGAACTCTATGATGAATAATCACAGGTTAATGAATTAATCAACCAAATAAAGAAAGGCTTTGACATTCAGGCAGACAGAAGTCATGACACTCAGATGAGAGCAGCGAGGTGCACAGCCAGATCACGCAAGGAGCCAGGGTGGTGGGGGGTGGGGGCGGCGGGGGAGGGTGCGTGGTTCTCACCTGACGTTCTCATAGCGGTGGATGTAGATCCGATGGAACTGGTGCTGCAAGTGCTCGTCTTCAACATTGGTCATGTCGTTGATCATTTCCAGGACGACAAAGCGGGGGAGCACAGATAGCACGAGCCGCTCCTGGAACAAAGCAATGGAGAGGGACAGGCTTGTTAGGCTGACCAGCAAGTCTGAGACCCTGTCTCCATCACTGATAGTCACGTAGTATTAGGTGAGCTTGGTCATGTCTGTGCCTTAGTTTCCTAATTTGGCAAATAGCAATAAAATCATCTACTTCCCAGACTTGTTGTGAGCATTCCATGAACTAAAACGTGCGATAGGCCTGGCATGAATTCCCTCCCTCCTCTCTGCTCTCCTTAACTCTGCTCCCATGCAAAGGGCTTTATCAGTGAAGTGCCCACGGAGCTTCATACGATGAGGCTTCTCCTCTCTTGAAAGCTGTCTCGTCATGAGACTGAGAAGCGTGGTTCTTGAAAATGACCGTGCATCGTGTCCATTTTGTCTTCATTAGACTATTTGCCAGCTTCCTGGGTATCCGTGGCCCTGCTCATGCATCCGTGCTGGATGGGAGTAGGTGCTAATCACGGCTTTGAGGGGCATTCAGTTCCTGAAAATAGCAGAAGTTCAATAAATGCGTCCTAAACAAATGGTGAACACACAGATGGCAGAGACTTAAGCTTATGGTTCCTCCCCGCCACTGGAACTTGGATCGTGATTCATCCATTTATTCATTCAGTTACCATGTCAAAGAGAAGGTGCCATGTGACAGGTGCAGTGCTGGGCGTGGAGAATCAGCAGAAAACCAAAGCAGGCATGGCACTCGCCTCTGAAGAGCCAGTGTTCTAGAGCTAACAAACAGATCCTGGAAGAGATGAAGAGGAGCTGGTGGCTACTTTAGCTGAACGGTCAGCTAAAGGACAGAAGAGTGACTGAAGCAGGGAGCTAAAGGACAGAAGGAGCAGTCCTATAGAAAGCTAGAGAAGGTGCTGCAGGCACAGGGGGACAACTAGTACTGAGGCTATGGGATACAGTCTCTTTTGAAATTCACTCATTCATTCACTCCACACGTTTACTGAGATTCTCCTGTAGACAAGTATGTTAGCTGCTATGAATATAGGAGTGAACAAACAGATGTGATCCTGAATTCCCTGGGGGGCTTACAGGCTCCATCTCAGAGATGACAGGCTCAAGAAGTGACAGTCATGGTAGCAGAGAGGTCGGGCGAATGTGGCTGGCAGGAGCTTGACAAGCACTATGAAGGTAAGTCAGGGGTAAGCTCTTGCTAGCAGCATGAGCAGAGAACCCAGTCACTTGGGGCAGACTGCTCTGTAAGCCACCGATGAGGTCCTGGGAGCCTTGCGAGAGCTGTAAAGGTAAAGGAGGAGAGGCTGGGCTTCTACTCAGTTTGGCATCAAGACTCAGAGCCAGGCACAGAGCAAGTGATGAGAACTCGGATCCGCAGAGCCTAAACATTTGTGCCAAGTCTCAGGAAGAAGGCATATGCTCAATCCTGGTCCAGGGGCTCGCCACCCAAGTGTTCTAAACCAGACAGTTATTCAGATGAGCCACGCCTTCCTCTGATCGTCCTGGACCTGCCCCGGGGATGCCTTCTCTAATGGCTCTGCTGAAGTGAAACCCTCCGTGAAGCACCCCGCCCCCGAATCCTATGCCATGTTGACCTGCCTGTTTCTGCCCTGATGGCAACCTCCACCAACTTCTGAACCAGTTCCTGGACTACTTGAATGCAGTACCAGTTCTCCTGGCTGACCTCCACTTACCAACGCTCTGGATTACCTGACTCAGTGGGTCCACGTTTTCCAGTCCCTCCCTCACACCTGTCAGCTGGGCACTTACAGGGCTGAAGGTCCCCAGCTCATAAGGAGCTCTCTAAATGCCCACAGCTTCTATTCCATATTAGTCCCATGCAGGCTAGGAGCCTCTGGGCTTGTTCCCACATGCAATTATGTCGGTTTATCTGTGAGTGTGTTCACTCTATTTAATTAGGTATTAAATTAAAATTTTTAAACAAGTAGGAATGAGTGTTGCTGTTTGTATGAAAATGGAATTGAATGCTTCGGGAAGACTTGGAAATGCTGAGTAACCAAAACATCGCCACCAAATTAAGACATGGGCCAGGTGGCCATGAATGTTTGTGAGAAAAGTGATAAAAATTCAAAAGTCACTCTGATAATATTGCAAGAACTTTTAAATTCTTGCTCCATTTTAAGAAACTAGAAGTCTTGGCTGATGCACAATTAGCTATGGTCTCAATAAGAAACAATAGATCAAAGCTAAAAATAAATGCCTTGGCCTTATTTTAAAAGACCAGGTAATGAATGTATTATTTTATGTTTAAGTCATAAATAAAATGTTCAAGTATAATTTTTCAATAGTTCCCCATTTTAATCTACTGTTCCAATGAATCAAGCAACCACGCGCCCTGATTACTTCCACTAAAGTGGTTTTACAATTCCTGTTTGGATGTCTGTCACCTCCCCCAGGCCACGAAGCCTTTGAGAGCCAAGGCGGTGTCCTGTCCACTTCCAGAACCCAACACAGGCTTTAGAAGGAAGGGGTAGCCATATTTATCTGGATTCCTCTGGTGACAGATCAATACCCAACTCAACAGAGTTTCAGAAAACTCAGGCTTTATCCTAAGGATACTGCGGTGTCTCATGGAAGCTAAGGGCAAAACTGAGAGGCTGGGTCTTGGGAACAAAAGGACCCAGTGAACCTTAATGACTATTGCCCTTGAACTTGGATTTCTACTTATCCTACAAATTAGCAAGAGGCTCTCTCACTTCTCCTTTACTGAGAGTTCTTATGCCTTCTATCTTTGTATGCCTTGTATCTTATGCCTTCTCTCTTTGGCCATTTTGAGAAGATTCTTGCTCAGTTCAAGACTCACCGTGTGTGCATAAGGAGTCTGCTTGGGTCAAACATTCAGTGCTGCCTAAGGCTCATGGTCAGGTGCAGGGGCACAATAAAGAGCATGGTCATCACTGAAGTGACCATTAAGAGAGGGGCAGGTTGGATACAGAGGGGAGAGAGTAAGTCCCAACCAAGCGGGGACATGGCAGAAAACAAAGATGCACAAAACAGTAGCCAGTGCACACTTGCAGAAGGAATAGATGAGTAAAAGACAAATAGCTGTCCCTGAAAAGGGTTCCGCTTTGACCACAGGGGTGGAGAGCAGGGAACCTGGAGGGAAGGTCAGTAAGCGGAAGCAGCAGTGTAGGCTGGTGGTCACGTGCACCGCCCCCAAGGTAGGCTCTGGCTTCAAAACCTAACTCGGCCCGTCCCTAACTCTGTGACTTGGGCCTCATCCTTTAGCTTCTCTGTACCAGTTTCTCCATCTGTAACCCAGAGCTGATAATAACAGCACCTCTTTTTTTTTTAATTTTTAAAGATTTTTATTTATTTTTTGACAGAGAGAGAAAGACAGCGAGAGAGGGAACACAAGCAGGGGGAGTGGGAGAGGGAGAAGCAGGCCTCCCTGCTGAGCAGGGAGCCTGATGCGGGGCTCGATCCCAGGACCCAGGGATCATGACCCGAGCTGAAGGCAGACGCTAAACGACGGAGCCACCCAGGCGCCCCATAACAGCACCTCTTTGACAGGGCTGGAGGATGAAGTGAGTTAGTATTGGTAAAAGAATTAGATCTAGTGTCTAGCTTGCTGTAACCACAGCCCAAATGTTGATGAAATTCACTGGCAAGCATGCTCTATTTTAAGCATTGTTTTAGAACTCGAATTGTACTTGGGTGCAAATGCTTTAAGCTCTTGAAGTAGGAACGTTACACAGGAAGTATGGGGGGGATGAATAGACAGAATATAAAAAGGCTATCGTACTACACAGTGAAAAGCTTCAGTCACACTTGTAAAAATGAAAATTCTTCCATTTTTATTACCAAAATCTTGATTCTGGCAGTTGAGTTTGTATCTGAAAGGGAATTTACGGAACTGTCACCCAGAACTGTTACTGTTTCTGAAAGCTAAGCGTGAGCCCAGCCATGCAAAAGGTGTTGTTGAGCTGGCTCTGAAAGCCATAGTCTGTATATGCTCTTTAGGCTGATTCAGTGAGGGGGCTGACAGTCCGGATACCATCCGTGTCAACTTGGTGGGGGTCTAAGACCACCAGGAAATTTAGTTCTGCCCAGAAATGCAAAGACCAAAAGTTTTGGAGTCAGGCAATCTTAAGTTAAGTCCTGCCTGAGCTCAACAACTGGCTCGCCTTGTGACCATGATAACTTATATGACCCCTTTGTGGCTCAGTTTCTTCATCTACACGATGGGAACAAATACTGCCTGCCTCCCAGGATTGTGGTTTACACTCAAGCCCTTTTTATAGATCCTGGCATACAGTAGGTGTCTATTAAATAGCAGTAGTCGTCAAGGGTGTTTTAACTCATTCCAGTGGCCGGTTCACAGATCATAGCCAGCATTACTCTATAGTCTATAGTCCACAATACGGAACAGAACTTAAAGGATGAGTAACAAAATTCAGGTTTCAGGGACCTTTTTCTTATTTTTCTCTTTTTAAGGAGTTAGGATTTTCCCAGATCCCTTCATTTAGTAGTTGCCAAACAAAGCTCTTTCTTCATTCTTTGGTTTGCTTAAGCATTGCTGAATGCCTATTGTATACCGGGAGGCCCCAGCACATAAGGCCAATCAGGCCCTGCCTTCACAGATCCTGTAACTTTGCTGTGTGTCCCCAGGCAAGTGACTTAACATCTCCAAGCCTATCATCCTCATGTGCAAAATGATAACAGTAGCTCCCTTCTGCGGTTATCCTCAGAACCCCGTGAGATACATTTGCTCAACATGCCCTGGGAGTCGGGGGGATGAAGTGGGGAGTGGTCCACCCCAGGTGCAGACAATAAGCGGGTCCCTGGTCTGTAGAGAACTTAAAACAATAGTTAGAGGACTAAGAGTTGCTTTGCTTTTTATCATTATCACCATTCACGGACTATTTGAAACAATGTCAGCGAGAAAATACTCCCCTCCACTCCCAGGATAATGTTACTCGAATAAAAAGGAAGGCAGTTTTTTGCTCTGGTAATAAAATGATAAACCAAAGGCAATATGACACTAAAATCATGATGCTGAGTTCTCCTGCAAGGAATTTAGTCAAATGTGCAAAAGAGCACATTTGCTGTATGCAGCAGACATTAGGCGCCCAATCTGCTGCCAAGCATCGCCTCTTGAAAAGTATTTCTTTTAAGCACTTCGTATGGCTTGAGGATTTCAGTCCTTTTAGAGAGCGCTGAAAGGTTCTTTCACGTAAGGTTTGCCACTTTTCTCCGACACAGAAAAGTATTGCGCCATTTTCAACAAAGAGACATTGACATATAGGTCGGAAATCACAATCAGAAGACCTGAATTTGAGTCTCTTTCTGGCATGGGCGTACTCAGTGTCTGATCTTGGACCAGCTCCTTCCTCTCTCCGAATCTGAGTTTTCTAAGGTGTAAAGGCGGTCATTGAACTTTGCTCTGCCTACTTCACAGAGGGGCTTTATTGAGGGTGAGACATTCCAGCTGGATATTATGGTGTCTTAAAAAATAGGGGTTCACCAGTTAGGAGTGAGGGAAGACCATTCAGGCAAAAAGCAAAGACACAGGGGATGGACAGCAGATGGCAAGTTTGTGGGTGAGTTCACCATGGTTGAAGGTTCTCTGTGAAAGACTGGTCAGAGTTGAGACTTGAGAGTTCCCTGGGAACAGTTTGGAATGGCCCTTGTTTTTTTTTTTTAAGATTTTATTTATTTATTTGAGAGAGAGAGAGTAAGAGAGAGCATGAGAGGGGAGAGGGTCAGAGGGAGAAGCAGACTCCCTGGCGAGCAGGGAGCCTGATGTGGGACTCAATCCCGGATCATGACCTGAGCCAAAGGCAGTCGCTTAACCACTGAGCAACCCAGGTGCCCTTGGAATGACCCTTGTATCTTATGGCAAGGAATTCGATCTTCAGCTAATAGGGAAATAGGGAGCGAGTGATTTTTTAAGTGGGAGCGGAGAAGGGAGGTGACATCATTATTTGTGTGACCCTAGAGAATGGATTGCAAGGCTAGGGGACAGACAGAAAATATGCGACATAGTTGTTGCCATGTCTTCAGCAAGGAGAGGAGATCTGAATGTGGGCCAGGGCAGCGGGCAAAGAGAAGGGTTAGAATGGAGAGACAAAGGGACGGTACTGTCATTGTATATGGGCTGGAAAATTTTCCAAAAAGTTTTTGAAATTCCACAAGGGATGAAACCATACAAAACAG